ACAACTATGAAGAATGTTGCCAGCAGTACAGAATCATAGACTTTAAGGTCAGAAGGGACCGTTATGATCGTGTAGTCTGACCTCCTGCACAACGCAGGCCACAGAATCTCACCCACCCACTCCTTTAACAAACCCCTAACCTATGTCAGAGCTAATGAAGTCCTCAAATCATGGTTTAAAAACCTCAAGGTGCAGAGAATCCTCCAGCAAGCGACTCATGCCCTACGCTGCAGAGGAAGGCGAAAAACCCCCAGGAAAAACTTCTGCCAATCTGTCCTAGAGGAAAATTCCTTCCCGACCCCAAATATGGAGATCAGCTAAATCCTGAGCATGTGGGCAAGACTCACCAGCCAGACACCCAGGAAAGAATTCTCTGTAGTAACTCAGATCCCACCCCATCTAACGTATACACACTGACTGGGCGTCATTTAACCAGCAGTCTGGCAAGGGTTGACAAATTGGGCCATGGAAGCTTGTCAGGAAGAACACCACAAATCTAGAAACCTTGCTAATTTTGGCAGTATGATGAATAGGTCATCTGCACAGTTGAAATCAGTAGAACTTTTTATAACCCTTTTCTCAGACCCAATGGCTAACTCAGTGGCTGTAAATGGTGTGTGATATAAGCTTTTCTGTTGCAAGCAGGCCCGGAACGAGGCCCTCACCACAACTTATGATAGTCTTGTGCAGCATGATGATGATATCTCCAGCTGATTTCAATGGAGGAGCTATAGTAATTTTATTGTGGGACCTGAGATGAGATCAATGACCAATTTTGGACCTGTAGCCCCATCTGCAAGTGCCTCAGGTGAACACAACTGTGGATGAATGTGTGCTGCTTCTGGCTTCAATCTCTCCTTGATTGCAGCAATCCACAAGCTCTCAATCTTTGTCTGAGGTGGCAGAGCTGCTCCCATTGGATCCTGTGTGGAGCTAAGAGCTCCTAGGTGTTGAGGTCAAGACTGGAGGTTGGCCTTGAAAGTATCTCTGTAACGTTTTCTTGGTCTGCCCCTAAAATGAGTTCCAATCTGCAATTCTCCGCAAATGACAACTGTAGTGGGGCGGCTTCCCCACTCCTGGAGAAGGTGTTAAAAGCAGCCCTGGAGAGGGCTGTGGCTGGGAAAAGCTAGGCTGATTGGGGGAAGCAGTCACAGCTGTGGCCAGCTCAATTAGGGCCCAGCTGGCCCTGATAAGAGGGCTGGGGGCTAGAAGCTGAAGAAGTCTCACTCTAGCCCTGGAGTGGGAAGGGCTAGCTGCCTAAGAGGAAAGTATCTGAAGCAGAGTGGTGCTCGGGAAGGGTAAAGGGAGCTCGGGAGCTCCAGCCTAGTAAACTCCCAGGCTTGATGAAGGCTTATGAAAAGGTACTGGGGCTGCAGAGGGGCAGCCTGGGGATAGATAAAGGCAGCAGGTCCTAACCCCTTGCCAATGATGAGTGGCCATTACAGACTGCAGTCTGCCCCAGTGAGTGGGTGCTAGATGATGACTGGCAGTAGCCACTGAGGCAAGGTGGGTGTAGAGGGTTGGGGGTTCCCCTGGGAGGGGAGCCCCAGAGTGTGGGGGTACTGCTGGGGCAGAACCCCAAGATAAAGGGCACTGGGGTCCAGGAGGGGCACGGGGGCCTGAGGCTGGTGAGACACCGGCTGGCAGAGGGCGCGCCGTACGCTGGAAAAGAGCTAATTCTCAGATGACCAGCAGGAGGGGCTGCGGATGTGAGTCTCAACTTCATTACACAACCTTTGGTATTCTGTTGTCAGACGTATGGACCACATGACTGCACCATCTCAGCTGTGCTCTCACTATAAAAGCTTCAATGCCTGTGATGTTGCAGCACTCAAGAACCTTGGTGTTTGGAACCAAATTTTGCCATTTAATTTCCATTATCCACCGCAGATGTCGTAGGTAGAATTGATCCAGTTGTTTTATGTGGTGTCAATAAGTAGTGTGGTGATGACAACAGTATGGTAAACATCAGATTTTGTTTGCAGTCTGAAACCCTGTTTGTTCCGGAGATGATGCTGAAGTGTTCTGAAGGCATTGCTGGCTGCAGCAATGTGCTTTGTAATGTTGTCCTTGATCATTGCATTTTGTGACATGACACGACCTTGGTAGCAAAATTTATCAATGGCCTTGAGTGGTAAACTGTTGATGGACACATCTGAAGTAGTTGCATTACTTTCCAATCAAGGTTGGGCCATGACTTCTGTCTTCTTTAGGCTCATTAAGCCAAAATGTTTTGCTGCATGTGCAAAGCAGTCAGTGAGCTACTGAATGTCCCAGAGGTTATGGGTCAATAAAGCACTATGAAGCATAAGCATCAGTGAGCAATAATTTGCAAGTAATTGTCTCAGTAACTTTTGTCTTTGCATGCAGGTGATGCAGAGGCAGGACCTCCATGCATATGTACTGCATATAAATGCCACACTCAAAGGTATGCGAGTCACTTCAGAGTGCCAGAGTCTGAGAGCATCTACTAGAACAACTGCAAACATGATGCTTGATAATGTTGGAGCATGAACATAGCTCCTTTTGTTGTCACCAGTGGAGTAAAAGTAGGCTAAGAATGCAGGACATGAACTTGCATTCCTGCATGAAAAGACTGAATAATGTTGACAAAATTATTGGGGCAATTGAACTTGCGGATGACTGTCTACAGGCCATCTCGATTTACAGAGTCAAAGGCTTTAGTAAGATTGACACAACTACATATAGGTTTTGATTCTTCTCACATTTCTCCTGAATTTGCTGCAGTGCAAAGATCATGTCTGAAGTACCACTCCTAAAACAGAAGCCACAGTGGCTTTCAGGCAATATCTTCTCTGCAAGTTGATTGGTTAGCAGTGGCAAGGAGCAAGATGCCATGATGGTTATTGCTAGAAGTGTGTCTGCCTTTCCTTTTCTAAAGGTGAATAATTTTGGTATCTTTACATTCCTCCTGTTCCCAAAACCTCGTATAGAGGCACGAGAGCTTCCTGATTAGTTCATGGCCCCCACATTTGAAGATCTCTGCAGGAATGCCATAAGGATTTGCTGCTTTGCTGTTTGACATTGCCTTGACAGCTTTCCATACTTCAGAACTGAGAGCTAGAAGTTGTTCATGATCATTAGGTGTTGATGCTGATGTGGTGGAGGGGCAGGTCAGAACCTTATGGAAGTGTTTACCTTATCTTTTCAGAATTTTGTCCTTGATCCGTCAGCAGCAATGACACATGTACATTCTAGATAAAGATGGTCTTCAGCTCATTAAAAGACCATTTGGAGTCGCTTTGGTCTGCCACTGATTGAAACTGCTTGGCTTTTATTTTCTACCCACTATCCTTGATGTGGCAAAGCTTAGTTTGCACATTACCCTTTGAATGTGAATAAGACATCTTTTTAATAGACGAGTTTTTATAGTTTATCCAAAACATGTGAAGAGGCAGGCATCACGACAAGGATGGACACATTTCTCCAACACTGATGACACAGGCACTTGCCCTTGAAGTACTGCTGGAACTTATTACATGCGGGTGTAAAAAGACAAGTGTGAGCTCAACTACAGTTGTTCAAGACAGATCAGGGCATGCACACAGTCTTGCTTGTGCAATGGTGGTGAGTACTCTTCTCATCATATAGTTGCCCATGTGGATCCAGATGAGTGTGAGACTACAGACGGTTCAGATTTTTACATGTAGCATATAGCAAATGTATTGGAAAAAGCCTAGACACACATGTACGTGGCCATATTTCCCATAGCTGAGAGGGAGTCCATTGGCTATTAGTGTTTTGCTCTTACCATGCAACAGTATACCTGACCTCTATTATAATGAATACTTTTTTAAAACTTTTATCCCAATGAATAATATGTGCATTTATCAATACAAAATACAAAGCCCACGTTCCTTAAGTAATGAGCCTTATTAGTAATTTGTATCGAACAAATCATTCGTATGAGTAAAATTTATTTTTCTCTTTAAATAAATTGATGACACTGCGTCAAACCTTTTGCATGACTAAAATTTGCTTTTGTCCTTAAACAATTTATTTTAAAATCCCACTTCATTAATAATTTTTTCTTTCAAATTTGTATTGACAATTTAAGTACAATTTTTGTGCTCTCTTCACTCGCACAAAAGGGTGTTTTGACATGGGTGCAAAAATCTTGCATTGACATACCTTGCTACCACTTTACAACTCCACACCCACCCAGGATAAGTATGTAAGCGATGTGTCTATCAAAATAACATACTTGTTTTTTTCTGTATGGGGTGGGGGTGGAGATACTACATCACCTAAACTGTCCAGCCTAGGGCTCCAGGCTATAAAGTAAAACACAAAATATAGCTTGTGCAGTTCTGCCATTGTCTCTCTGATTGCGCTCATTGGGGAGCCATAGCCTGCAGAAATCTTAGGTTATAGCATAATGTAGTGAGTCCATCTTGCTCCCTTTTGCATGTACCCTTCCTGACAATGTGTGCAGAGGCAATGCGAGCCTATTACGGACCCTAAGATGGAATATTTTGGTGGCCCTCCCAAGCAACATATACTAAAAAAGCAAACGGGCCCTAAGCCCTTGCTTAAGTCTGCTTATGCCTAGCGCCGACTCTGAACGTCTGCCTCCTTCGCATCCTTCTCAACTTGCAGCGGCCCAAATGGGCATGCGATGCCAACCGTGACACAGTCTCACTATGCGGGGGGCAATGGGCAGGACACTTCCAATGCTTTAGTGCAAAGGGCTGCTTCTCCGATGTGAATGGCTTTCAGCGGGGGAGGGGAGAAGGGGCCCTGACCTGGGAGCTGAGCTCTCTCCTCAGGAGAGGTCGGTAGGTCCCCGCCTGCCCGTGGCCTGGGTCGTCGTCGTCTTCTCCTCCTCCTCCTCCTCCTCCCCTGGCCGCCTCGCAACGCTGCCTCCTGTTGCTTTGGGACAGGGGGGCGGAGCTGCCTTCTCGCTCCGATTAGCTGGAGACGCTGCCAATCGGATTGGCGGGGCGGGGCTCTGCTGGAGCAGCGAGGGGGGGGGGGAAGGAGCGTGTGGCGGAGGATTAATGTAGCCTCGTCCTGGGCTCGGCAGCGGCGCTTCCTTCGTCTGGCTCGGTCGCCCACAGCGAGCCCCTTTCCGCGCGCTCCTCTCTGCCGGCGTGCGGGCGGGCGCCGCCGGGGCGCCATGGAGGAGGAGCGGGCGGGCGAGCAGATGAGACCGCTACTCACCACGGTAACGCCACGCGCCGAGCCCTGCCCGCTTTGTGTGAGCAGAGCAGCCGGCCCGGCTGGGCAGGGGGCGCGGGCCCGGCCCTTTGTCAGCAACTGCCGGCCGGGGAGGATGTTGTTGCCCCCCCCAAGCCGCCGGGCAGGAACACGGAAGCGGCGCCGCCGGGTACCCGCGTGCCTGAGGCTGCAGAATCGCTTCCCTCTTCTCCTCCCCTTGCCGGTAACGGCCGTGGGGTGAGGGCTCCTCGCGCACAAGTGCCAACCCCCCCGCGCCCCGGGGCTGCGCGTTCGCGCGGTGCCCTCCTGGCCTCAGCCCGCCCCGTCTCCGCGGCCGGCGCAACTGGTGCGCGTGTGCGCGCTGGGGGGCTCTCGGCTGGCAGCCGATGCCCCCCTCCCGTAGCTCTGCCTGCGCCGTGTGTGGCAGGCTGCTCCCTCCCCTGTGCTCCCCGCTGGCTTTGGTGCGGACGGCGGCGTGGGACGGGGGAGGCTGGTTCCTTTGTTCCAGCCTTGTCTCTGTAATACCCGCTTCAGGCCCCTGCAGCCCATGCTCTTGTATAAGAGAGAGGGTAAGGAACAGGCTCAGTAGTTCCCATCCTTCACTTTGGTGAAACCATGGCAGGGCTAATGTACCCGTTGGGCGGGCAAGGGGTGATCCGCTCTTCCCTTTTCTTAAGGCGGCTGCTGCCCCTCTGCCGGGGGGCGAGAAGGGAAGTGTGCACACATGGTAACTAAAGACTTTTATTTTTCTTCTTGTTCTCATGTTGCACAGCCTTATACTCCGGTCAGGTGGATATGATTCCCAATCAGGTGTGTCTCGCCAATATCTGTGAGGGAAGGATTAAACTACATTGATTTGGTTCATTTCCTTTCATGCTTGGTGGTGAAGCGAGGCAGACATGTGTTCCCTTACTTCCTGTGCTACTGAAAAATACATGTGGCTCCACAGTTGTAATTTCCTCTCTCTTTACCCCTCCCTCCCTTTTAGATGACTCAAATTCAGGGTTTTATTAATAAGCCTCTCTGTCCTTATTCTGATGTCCCTTTTTAATGCCTTCTCTAAGTAGGTGCTGCATAGTAATATATTCTTAGTATCAAAAGAGGAGGGATGTGTGGTTTCCAACCTATGTAGTATTCTGATTGCCAAAAGAAACTTGGACATCTTTATTTTGTTTTACTCAAGACTGTTCAGGTATTTTTCCTTACTCCTTAAGAACTAACTTTAGTCATTAACGTGTTAGAATCAGTGAAGTGCTAATTTGCTGTTGATATACTTACCTGTTTCTCATGGTATTACAACAGTGTCAATAACTTGATATGGTTCAGAGGTCTATGAATGTTGTATTTTCTCTGGATCCTGTCATTTGTGTTGCAGGTCAGCTTTGGTTTAAGAAATTGGTTTAATATCTCCCCCATAAGAGTTCAGCATAAAAAAAGTGCATCACTTTTCTATGACCTTGTCTTCTTCAATTAAGAAAAAAGATGTTCTTAACTCCTGTTAGCTAATATGTAGTGACTAACATGAGGCTCATATCAGTCACTACATGTTAGCTAACAGGAGTTAACACAACTTTTTCTTAGGATATGTCTACACTACAAGTTCTACAGTGGCACAAGTTAGTGCTAAACGATATGGATTGAGAAGCTTTGTAGGTTGCAAATGTATTGGGCTACAATACTGGAGACAGAAAATCAGGAGGGGGGCTTGTGAACGTGACCTGGAGAGGAAGCAGAAAGACAGCGCTTCCTGGGCACAGAGCTTGCTAGTAGTAGACTTGAGGATTTCTCAGTAAGGAGACTGCCTGGTGGTTTTTTTTTTTTTCCTTCTTCTGTGAGATGGAGTAAAGAAGGGGTTCCAGACATATGGGGCTGCGGGGAGAGAAGAGTATGCAGAGGATGTTTGTGTAAATTAAGCAGAGTGAAAAGGGGTGGGATTATGTGAAAGAGACCAGCAAAAAGGTAGGCAGAAGCTAAATTATACATGTCCTTAAAGGCAAGAACAAGTAGCTGTGGTGAAGTAAGTGACAAGTAAGCAGGTGAGCATCGATGATGTGCTGATGCACAGGCAAGCTTAATGGCTCTTGGACCAGGTGTACGCTAGAAACTTTTGCTGGTACAGGTTGGTTAGGGATATGTCTCTTCTTGAGATAATTCTGTACCAGCAAAAGTCATAGTATAGACTTAATAATGCTAGTATAAAAGTGCTTTAGCTGGTATAGCTTATTTTGGTCAGTGAAATGGTGTAAGCTATACCAGCAAAAGCACTTGTTTTTTTTTTTTTTTTCCAGTATCAGCTGTGGCCATGTCTAAACTACAGTAGTACAGCTACAGTGGTGTAGCTGTGCCACTGTAGCGTGGTAGTGTAGACACTTCCTGCCTCAATGGAGGGTTTTTTTCTATTGATATATAGTACATCCTCCTGTCTGGGGGGGTAGCTAGGTTTGATGGAAGAATTCTTCTGTCAGCCTAGCTGCATCTACAGTGGGGGGTTAAGTTAACCTAACTATTGCACAGGGTGCAAAAGTATAAAGTTATAGAAAAGTATGTCATAGCATGGAAAAGGTTGAGAATTACTAGTATAATTCATTTTCCTGTTGAGAGGCTTTCCACTTATTTCCTCTGTGTGATGGCAGAAAATGGGGAGTCTTGTCTGAATTGTCACAGCTGGCTTCCCAAAGAAACTTATTTGGGCTGTCAGGTAGGCATCCTTCTGATATACTGTTCTCCTGCAGGGAATCTTAACTAGCAGATTTCCTGTCTCTTTAAGGAACTGTAGGCTATATAAAAGTTCAGATCACAAAGGTTTATTATAAGGTGGACACCCTTCCTCTTTTGCTACTGGCAAATGTACTGCTGAAGAATGTTCTCTTGGAGAGGTTTCAGAGTAGCAGCCATGTTAGTCTGTATCTGCAAAAAGAAAAGGAGTACTTGTGGCACCTTAGAGACTAACAAATTTATTTGAGCATAAGCTTTCATGAGCTATAGCTCACTTCATCGGATGCATGCAGTGGAAAGGGATGCCTTTCCTTCAGCATTCTAATATGCTTAGATTCCACCCGTGTGAATGCTGAGTGAGACTCAGGTGGAAAACTGAATAAGAGTTCTAGAAATCTGTGCAGAATTTTCTTACTTTACAGGTTGGAATATCTACTGTTATTGGAGAATCTGTTAGTGAGATAGGAGGTGAAGTCTGTTTATGTTCGAGGCCAGAGTGGCAGGGAGTATCTACAAAGAGAATTTGTGGAAGGGAGGAAAATACCTGTCTTGCATTCTTGCCCCTTTATTTTAGTGTATCTGCCTTCTAAAGGAGTGGTCTCTATTGCACCATAAGGTGCCTGAGAGGAATACTTCTCTGAGTGCAAGAATTACCCTACTGGGTCTGATCAGTATCCTGGTTTTGGTATACATGCTGTCTGATGTACTCTTGTATACTGGAAGAGCAAATCCCTCCTTTCTGAGGACAGTTTTAGATTCTCTGGGTAGTAAAAACAAATATCACTCAACTCAGATATACATGTGCATTTTCTCATTTTTTTTGGCAGCAGTTACTAGTAAGCGTTCCTTTGGTGGCTGGACCAACTTGAGGCCAAAGTTAATCTGTACGGTTTCCTAGCATTTGAGGGCTGAGACCATGTTCATCTTGCTGATTTAAACTAACAACTCTTCATACCCATTCACTGCCTCATTTTATGTGTTGGGGTGGCTTATATTTCTATATCAATAACTTTTGATCATGGCCCATAGCCGGGCAGCCACTAGCAGTCCATGTGGGATCCTCACAAGAGTTTCATGTGCCTTGATGTTATGTCAAAATCTGGGGAAAATGAACTCTGTAACATTCTGCTTAAAGGTGCTTGCAGTTATTTAGGTGATGTCTTAATCACATCTCCTAGGACTCAGCAGTGTGGCTTCATTATGGGGGCTACTTGAGTTTGAATATCTTCTGCATTAGTTAGGGGGTGACCTTCTGGTCTTTTAAGTCTCTAAGAATGTAGGAGGCATAGAGTCCAGTGGCTTTGTTTCCTCTCCCACTCCCTGTAAACTATTGAATTTATTTTTGTGTTTGCTGAATCTGTTCCCTTCCCGTACCCTGCTGTGGAAGATGTTGGGTTTGAAAAGTGTTCTTGTTGGGGCACAGAGAGAGTGAGTTTGAGGATTCTCTGGCTGGTTTACTTGATTTAAAAGACTGCAGTAACATGCCTCACCTGATTTTATTGGAGTATGTGTCTGCAGCTTTTCTGTAGTGGCTGCATGGGTGGTTACTACTCTTTTTGAATAATAGCTTTGGAGGTGACATGGGGGGCAGGGTGGGTGAGTCCTTTTTCAGTGTTGGATCCTGTTGCTAGAATAACTCCAAATTTTTGAAAGCTATGTTTATGTTGGACACAGGCTCATAGATTATTTCACTGACACCTCTAATATGGACTGATATTTTTCAAGACTTCCTTTTCTTTTTCATCAAAAATATGTAAATAAAAATAAAAAACTAAATCACTAGGATTACAAGTCTTGAAGCCTGTGACAAAGATTTTAAGGGCTTGGGAGGGTACAATATTCATACAATAACAGTGAAAACTGGGTAGTTGACCAATATAACTATACATGTGACAAAAATGCTACCTAGAAATGACATAACTATTTAATATCATTGTCTGTCTGAACTAATCAAATATACTTTCTTTGGTTGTTCTTCCTTCCTCAATCATCTTCATCAGTCTCTATTCTAGAAAGTAACTTCTATTGGTATGTCTAACTGCATATCTTGATTGTTCTTGGAAAGTGATTCTGATACTAGGTTTACTGGGATATATGAGCTCAGACTCAAGCTTTCAGCCGGATTATCTCATTTTGAAACCGTTCTGGCAACCTTGTATCACCGGTTTTGATACATAATGTTGATTTATAGTATTTAGTTACTGAAACAGTTACCTTTTAAAATAATTTATGGCTTTTGGGGGTGGGGGGTTAGTTTCCTTTTTTGGGATTTAGTTTTGGCAGTTTGAGTTC